AATGGTACGATTTTTTTTTTTTTTTTTTTTTTTTTTTTTTTTTCCATTTTTACTTTTTTTTTATATATATATAATACAATGGTCATTTCTTGTAAAAAGCAAAAGACTTTTTTTCCATGATTTATTAACATATAAACTTGTTTATGGATTTTATTGTAGAGAAAATTTCAACAAAGGCCTCTGAAACTTTTGAAAAGTGTCACCATAATCTGATACTAAAAAACTTGTGCCTTTCAACTTATAAGGGGCTTTCATATGAACAAAGTGCCAATTCATTTTATAATATTTAGTAAAGTCATATATTTTGATGTTAAAAAAGAATGTAGCTAAAGAAACATGAGATTAGCAAAATAGCAATTTAGATTTAATAGTCAGAATAACAGCAAAGGCCATGGATATATAGACCATCTTATACACTGGACAAAATAAGGGTTTGATTTGTTATGTATATCATCTATAGCACTACAAAGGAACAGGGAGATATATCACAGTTTTATAGATACTGTGATAATTAGAAGTTCAGAGTTTTGAAGTTGATGGCAGAGAGTATTATTAAGAATAAGAAAATACAGAAAACAGAGGCCTTTTAGATCAGCTGTTGAACATAGCTTAATATTGCTTAATAATGAGTTTTATCTTACATTATGCCAGTGTAGTTCCTAGTTTTATGTGCATTTCTGACATGAGCAGGGCTGACATTTCCAGAAACAAGTGTAGAGGAATTTAGTTGGAAATATTATATTTGTGATATTACAGTCTTTACTGAAAAGTTTGGAGTAAATTGAGGAAAAAAAACAGGTAGGCATTTAATAACAAACTTGCCTCTAGTGCTTTTTATTATGTTTGTTGGAAAATGCCATTACCATATTCCCATTTTGCTGTAAGAAAAAAAAAAGGCATTTCATAATATACATGAAATAAAGGATATGGAGTAAAGACTTGTCAGACAGCCAATGAAGGTGAGGATTATTTTGCATTCACATAAAAGCATTCAAAAGAAGTGTACAGCAATATGTGAATGGAATTTATTGGAAAATGTTAACAAGGAATGTCCATAGAAAGAGGAGTGTGTCATTCATTTCACAGAGGGCCATACATGTGTGCTGGGGTATTTCAGTAGTTAGTGATATTTTAGAAAGTAAGATATTTACCTCCTCTGGCATTAGAAACTTTTTTTTTTTTCTTTCAAGAAATGTCAATTTTATCAAATTACATGTAGGGGTCCCAGCACAGCATTTGGTGCAAAGTTTCAGGGTAAGGAAAGATTTTTATTCTTTTTACTAAAATTACTCCGTAGAATTGCCATATTTATATGTTTGTTAGATGACTGTTAATAATATAGAAATTTACAGTTTTTTTGTTAAAAGATTAGTTTGATATGATAAAGTTTATACAATATGTACATAATAGACATGACATTTTAAAATAACAAAATCAGTCATAAATACAGCTCATCTATATAACACTTACACAGTCACCTATATTCTTTGAGCATAGCAGTATAAGATACCCTTATTTACATTTCCTTTTACTCTTTCTCTTACCTTCCTGGTATTCTGAAGTAATACTAATATGTCAATATCCCCACATCACTTCAAATCCCCAGTTAGTCACTCACAGTCCTGATTGTGGCCTGGAATAACATTACTCATACATTCCAAACACTATTTCCATCCCTGTACAGCTTTTGTATAAAGTTCATGCCTCCTTTCTGATATTTAAACAGTGGCGAAGCAAAGGTTCTTTTGTCAAAATTAGGGACTTATTCTATCATCTTGGAAGTTCAGATTACACTGTTCAACTTGAAAGAACATGAACTTGACTCTGCCAGCAAATTGTGCTGGATTGTAATCCTGTTTATGGTCTAAGACTTTAGACCTTCAGCATGTAATCAGTATTACTTGATATTGTAAGGAATACGTGATCAGCATCATACATATATCAGTTGAGGCAAGCAAAGTAATGATCACCAAAGCCAAACTGAACACTGCTCCAGCATACATCTTCGTTGTCTCTGCTGTGGTTTCATATAAATAATGTTCCTATGCTCATCATGACTTTTCTTCAGCATAAAAGTGGACTTTGGAAAACTTATACATACTTTTGACCATCATCATCTCTGAGTTCCCTCAGACATTTGAGTGTATGACCCAAATGGCAGCCTTTGCTTTTGTTGATTTTGATAAATTTGGTAATTTTGGAGAGAAGAATAAACAGTCTATTTCCAGTTGAAAACACAATATTCCCAGGTCAACATACTCATACACATGTACACACATGCATATTCACACATATGCACTTGCACCCCCCCCCCCACACACACACACACAAAATATGTGGTAGCCAATAAAAACAGGAAGACCTTATGATATAGATTTGTCTGTAATAGAATTGATAAGAAAGGTAAATGTGATGAGCATAGTTCCATTATAGGCTCTAGAGTGTTTTCCTATTCTTTTAAAAGGCTCAAGTTGAGGTGAAGAAGTGTTTAGAAAAGGGGTTGGGGAGGGCTAGACCAGGTGTTGTGCTGTTGTGGCGTGATTGTTACAAAGGGAAGGTAAAGTCTGGGTGGTCAGTGGATAATTCTGCACAGGGCTTGCATGATGATAGGGCTTCCACTTTCATGTTATTTTGAGTAATCATTAATGTTGATTTCAAGTTAAGGAAATACAAAAACTTGATCTATCATGGTTATGCATCCTGTAAACTGTATAATGCATGAGGTACCCTTGAGCCAGGATAAAGCTTTCTAACACATTGGCATTTATTTGAGTCAAGGATTTTAAAATTCACGGGTCCTTTAGTGAGGTGGTCTCTTTTTCTAAGTTGGAATTGCATGTGGAAGATACAGACAGTATGAACTTCACTGGTTGACAGAGTACTGCCTGCTTAGCTGTAATGTGGTGTTTGTTACTTAAAAAGAAAGTTTTATTTGTAAGATTATATATTAAAAACATATATATTTGAGAATATTATATAGTATTGGAAGTAAGTCATTGGTATATTTATATATTTTCTTTTTTCTTTTTTGAGAAGTTGCTAGTCTGCTGTCTTTTAAAGGAACAGAAAAGTTTGTTTTTATAAGATAGTTTAATTAAGGTATTCAGATATGAAAATGAAATATTTTTAAAAAATTAATTGAAAGTTTTAAAACAGAAGGGAAAGATGTCTATTTTTTCCCCTTTAAAATACAGTGAGTTGTGTGTATTGCAAAATCTATTCTCTAGAAGAAAGATGTTGGAGAGGACATTCAGACATATTTCTTTCTATCTTTACTTATATGCATTTTTGATATTATTTGGTATAAATAAACTTGTGTAAAAAGGGATCTTAGAAGGAACGATATAGGTATAGGCATTGTGTCTATCAATGGTGCCACTGCCTGAGGCAAGTCAGTAGTGGCACATGCCAAAGCAAAACTCCTTTCCAGTGTGTGGGTGTTTAAGTGTGTGTGTGTGTGAGTGTTTGGAGAGGATTAGCCACAAGAACCATGCCATTTTCCTATGCATCACTCTAGTCTGTTTCTTGAGCTCTGGCATAAAATTAGGTCAGTGAAGCTTCGTAACATCCAAAAAAATTTCAACAAGCATTTTATTTATATTTTTTAATAGGAAACATGTATCCAGAGCAAGTAATAGAGTAAATGTTCCCAAACCAACAGTTATTTGTTCCAGTCTATGAAATGGATTATAATTGTTAATATGTTTGTCCATATAATATGTTGAAAACGTTACCACAGGATAGACAGTTATTCAAGGTCTATACTGTTCACTGCCTACTCTCTAGTTAGATTGGTAACTGGGCGTCTCTTTGCCACTTACCAGTGACCTTGGCTGTTAATGTAGCAGTTAATTTTAGGTAATCATTCTTTCTGCCTGCATAGTAGATACTTGTTATTTTTCAAATTTCAAAGTTTTAACTTTTAGATGCCAAGGAGAACTGTGCCTTATAGGAGTGTGTTCATAATGATGTTCAGAGATTGGATAAATCTGTTTGTGTATCATCAGAGTGCTTGAAATTTATCTGCTTTTTCTAGATTCATTATTAACTCCTGAAAGACAGAATAGTATGAGCATAGATTGAGAAAAAAATAGGCTAAACATGTTGTAATACAGAAGCAGAAAATTGAAGTAAAAAAAAAATCCTTCAGTGTACCACACATTTGAGTTTGACTATGCTCAGAACAGAAGAAAGCAAGACACAAAAATCAGTATTTTTACCACCTTGCTCCCTAGATAGTGATCATACAAAATATGTAAGTTGCCATATTAAGTCTTCCAGGAGTTAATTCCAGTTTATGCAATATGCTTTCTTTCTATCTTTCTTTCTTTATTGTAATATTTTCTGTGAATTTTTTGCACTTTCAGGAGGTTGTGATTTTATGTGCATTATGCTGATCCAACAGATATTTTTTAAATTGTAGGAAACACAGAAAATGTTCACTAAACCTGCAGAATTTATATGTGTATCATTAGTGGATTTGTTGAAGATGTGTATTAATGTGAAATATACATCAGAAACATTTTGTGCCTTATGTAAAGGTGTTGCTAGGCTGTAGCATGTCATTGAAAGTGCCTCCTCTGTTTATGATTAGTGTTGAAGTGGGTGAGTACAGAAAATAAGAAAAATGTAATTTTCACAGACATTGAAAAACTTGGTTCTTTGTATGCATTCCATATTTTATATACTATATCAATATAAAACAATTTTTGTAGTTTAATAGTCAAAGATTGAGAGTTTTTCTACAACAGTTAACATTAATGCAATTAAATTCTTTAGCAAATGAATTATTAAACTGTTTGAAAGTTGTATTCTTTGAAGAGTGTTTAGAAAATTGTTTGTAAATTGAATATGGTTCTTCAACTGTTGTGCTTGGCTATTCATTATTTAAACCAAAGAAAAAAGTAAGTCAAGTTTTGTGAAATGCATGAAGGTGAAACCATTTCTATGCATCTCTTAATTATGTATTTTTATAGTCTGGAATAAAATATAAAGTACAACTTTTTTTTTATTTTCCAAATAATTTCTGGTACTTGTGGTAAGTGGAAACTGGGTATAAATTTGGCTCAGTGGCAGGTGACAGGAATGTGTCATCATGGAAAAATTTGGCTGAGGGCCAGGGTCACAGAATGTGTCGTCATGAGAATGGAGGGTGCCATGAATGCTTAAAGCTTTCAGGGGGAGATTAGACTCAGTGGACCTTTAAGAAGGGGCTCTTGCATTGCCACTGGTAAATGAAGGTGGAATGTACCATCTGTGAGCCATGTACTTTAAACCTATTCCTGCCTGCCTTGACTGGCAGCACAGGGTGTATTACAAAAAAATGAATGTTGCAAATAATACAAGCAACAAACTGTTACTTATTGTTATTATGGCTCCCATAATGTATTTTATAAGTTCAAGTTCAAGTCTAAGGTAGCAGTTCTCAGATTCAGTCTTGGCCTCACTTTATGTGAGACCAGGCAGGAACCAGGAAGCATGATGAGGTTTTCCTCTTGCTCTCTACTCCAGGGTTGTCCTTAGCTCCCAAAGATGTTTCTACATCTCCCCCAGTATCACTTCCTCCTTCCCCTTACCTCTCCTAGTCAATTTCTTTTACCATTCTGAATCCAGGCATTCCAATCTTTATCACTTCCCCAGTACCTACTCTTCCTTCTCGCTCAAAGGAAAGGACAAAGAAGCAAGAACAAGACATTAATGATATCTGTGTTTGAAGTGTCCAAAGTATCGAGAAATAAATACGATATTTGATTATTAAAACTTTTGGGATACACAACTTTGGTAAAAACAAAACCTATATTATGTTCTGAAAGCAATATTACCCATTTGAAACCAATATTAATCCTTTACCATCAATGTGTCATCCTACAAAGTCTCCCGGTGAAGTGCCCATGTGGTTCAGAATTCATTCTGGCTTATCTGTCAGTAAGTTTGATATATTAACCTCATATACAACGATGACAAATTCATTAAATAAATAATATGATGCAACTGATCAAAAATGATGAATACTCCCATCCCCACCTGCCCGTTAGATAGTATGGACACACGTAAAATAAATTTAGCACTTTGTTCTATGTGGATGTGTTTTGTATCATATGGATGGAGGGGTGGACTTCTCATCAAATGGTTAATGGTTAGAAGAAATAAATGTGCTAGACATCGAAGGTCATATAGCACTATGATAGAATAGTGTCGAAAAGCCCCCCACACCCCCACCCCAAACCCTTGCTCGTTGTCGTGGGGGGCTTAGGACACGGGTGCTGAGGCCCAATGTAGGGGATCACCCCTGCCTTGGGTCCTCAGCCGTAGCCTCAACTAATTTTTGTATGGTCTTTTATTCTCCTCCTCTCCTTTTCCTTTTCTTTATCCCCTTGTTCTGTCCACTTATCCTAATCGTTAAACTAATTTTTGCCGTTTTCGCCACAGTACTTTATCATGATGCTTTCTACTTCCTTATCTCCTTTCCCTTCTGACAACCATTACCTGATACTATGAGGGTCTTCAAAAAGTTGGTGGTAAAAAATCATATGGAAGGATTTTGATTTTAATGCACTGAAATTCTTGTATTAACGTGTTGTAACGTGTTCAAACGAACCTTAAATGCAGGTAATAACAATCATTAAATTCATGGTGAAACTCTGTTGGGAGAATAGGCAAATCATAGACGCTCTGGAGCAAGTTTATGGTGACAATGCCCCAAAGAAATCAACAACCTACAAATGGATAAGTCGGTTTAGAAGTGGAAAAAACGTAACAGAAGATGAGCCCTGCAGTGGCAGGCCATCAACGTCAGTTTGTGAGGAAAACATTGATGCTGTTCGCGACATGAGTGAAAAGGATAGACGAATAACCACTGAATCAGTAGCAGGTACATTCGACATCTCTATTGGTTCTGCACACATATTTTTTTGTGGAAAGTTTAGGGCTAAGCAAGTTTTCGGCTCGATGAGTCCCTAGGCTGCTGCGCCCACAGATCAGCAGCAAGCAAGAGTAGATCTTTCAATGGAAATTTTGATCTAGTAGGATGAGGAATTGTGATAGGGAATGAAATATGGCTCTACCAGTACGATACCAAGGACAAAATTTAATCAAAGCAATGGCTGCCCAGGGGCGGAAGTGGACCAGTCAAAGCCAAATTTGAGCGTTCAAGAGCAAAGGTCATGGTCACTGTCTTCTGGGATGCAGAGGGGATTTTGTTCGAGAAAACTGTCCAAAATAAGCTTGTTATGAATGCGTTTTGAGAAATTGTCCAAAATAAGCTTATGAATGCGTCAACGCGTTCTCTTCCACCACGGCAATGCACCCGCTCACGGCGCTCGGCAGACAAGAGCTGTGCTACATGACTTTCGATGGGAAATCATTCGACTTCCATCTTACAGCCCTGATTTAGCCCCATCCGACTTCTTTTTGTTTCCAAATATTGAAAGATACCAATTTTCCATCGGTTGAATATGTAAAGAACTGCTCTGACATGGGTCAGATCATATGATCCTCAGTTTTACTCAGACGGACTGAAAGGCTTCTATCAACGTTTGCAGAAGTGTATTGACCGTAATGGAGCATATATTTAAAAATTAGCGTCATAACTGAAACAATTTTTTTCATATTATCCTTTTTCCACGGACTTTTGGAAGCCCCCTCGTATACCCCATCAGCTCCCCCTCTCTACCCTTTTCACTACCATACCATCCTCTAGTACTCTTCAACCTATAACTTTACCCTAATCATTAACTCATTCTTACCCTTTTCGCTACTATAATTTATCATAACGCCATATGACCTTTGACATCATGTAGCACTTCCTTACGTGAGGGCTTTACCCCAAGATTCACGCTATCACTATATTTTGAATACGCCGCTTATGACCTTCGATGTTGACGCGGCAGAAATTTTTCAATAAATAAATGTGGCGAAAAGCATGAATTAACGAACAGGATAAGTCAAGGATTGTAGAACGTTGTAGGGTAGAATGATAGTGAAAAGTGTATAGAAAGGGCGCAAATGGAATACAGTGGGGATTTGTAAATGGTGTTAAAGGTATAGGGCAATCAGATCAAATGGAGAGTGCGCGTCTGAAGAAGGGAGGGTAACACTGAGGAAAATTGCAATAGAACTATTATGAAACAATCAAAAGATAATACGGTAAGAAACGATAGTTGTAGAAGTAAAAGACGAATCCAGAGGATGAGATAAGGGAACATCCATGAGGGAGTGGTGAAGATAATGGGGAAGGAAGAGGGAATGATGATGCACATGGAGGAGGAGAGGATGGGGTGTTTTTTTGGTGAGTGGGAGGGAGAGGATGGATGTCAGCAAATACTTTGAATGTAGAGCGAATAGGAATATAGGGATTAGAAGGAGGGTGAGGGAGTAGAGCATTCCCTTGGGTCTTGTATTGGAACTTTTGGATGTCATCAAGAGTTTCTGGAGGGAGTTGTATGGGAAGGTCTGAGAAAAAAGGTTTTCTTATCCCTTGCTCGTTGTTGTTGTGTGGGGGTTTAGGAAACGTGGACTGTGGCCCAATGCCCTCGACTCAACTAATTTTGTATGGTGTTTTCTTCTCCTCCTTTCCTTTTCGTTTCCCTTCATCCCCGTGTTCTGTTCACTTATCCAAATCGTTAAATTCATTTTTGTCTTTATCGCCACAATAATTTATCATAATGCTCCCTACTCCCATCTAACAACCTTTACCTTATACTATACCCCATCAGCCCCCACTCTCTACACTTTCCACTACCATACTATCCTCTAGTACTGTCCTACTAATCATTAACTCATTCCTAACCCTGATACTGAGATACTGAGACTTCTTGAGTAGATGGGAGGGGGGCGGACCAAAGTACAGTTTTGGAATAGGTAGAAAGAAGGAAAAAATCATCGGGCAATCAGTTGGAGAGACAGAAACAGTTCTGGTACACGTATTAAGGGAGGAGTGACATTGGGCAGGAATAAGTTTGCCAGTGAAGTCACTCTGGGTTGATAGTGCACGAGCTTCGGACTCGGGTGCAACTGTAACAAGGTGTGGACGATCGGAACGACTGCGAAAGGAAATTTTGCCTCCTTGCTTTTGGAGACATTGTTGGAAGAGAAAGGTATTGACAGAGTATGGGGTTGTAGGGAGGATCATAATGAATTGATTCCATCGGCTGGGCTAAAAAGGGCACTCAAAAAGTTTGTAGAGGTGGAAGTAGTAGAAGGACGAGGACGGGAGGAAGATAGGGTGGTAGAGAGAGAGGTAGTACTGTTGGGAGGACAGTAAGGATGAATAATTGTAATAAAGGGAGTAGGGATAGACAGTGAAGGAAACTGTACAGTAGAAGTATTCTCAAGGTTGAGCAATGACCTGGGTGGATGATTTGGAATGGATTGAACTGAACACAAACACTCAGGAGGGGTTATTTGCATCAGTGGTCGGGGCCGTGGTAAAGGAGAGGCAGGGGGTTGGGAAACCAATGAAATCAAATTTAGTTAGCCTAGTTAATGAAGGCGCAGGCCCTAATGCCCCCAATATGGGTAAAAAATCATTATTGGCCACGGTGAACCTGAAATAAATAGGGAGAGGAAACAGTCTACCCCACAGGATTCCCATGAGGGATAAGGGCTAGACAAGTAACCAAGGGAATACCGTGCCCATGGCTCCTGGAGGCCGTTCATGACTGACACCAATCAAGCCTTTCATTCTTTTAGCACGGCTCTCACACCTTAGTGAGTGGACAGAAGGGGATGATGAAGAAGAGAAGGAAAGGAAAGAGGGAGAAAAGATCATGCAAAATTAGGACTGAGGTCCAAGGTAGGGGTGATCCTACTTAACTGTACACCTGGGTAGTGTAAAGTATCTGAGGGTAATAACACAATATTAAATCGGAAACCTTTATTCATAATGACACATTTATTAATGAGCAAGGGATTGGTGGTGGTGGGTGTGGGGTTTCTCATCAAATGCCTTTTCACCAACAAACAATTGGCTGACCAACTTTTGGTCTAGTACCTATATTTT